TTGAATGCATTAAGATCTTTGGGAAGTCGTCTCTCATGGACAGTTTGAACCTTCCTTTCTACATGGTCTCTCCCTATAATAACCACCTAATCTGTGGCTTATGTCATGATGGCCTACCTAAGATCAACATTCCATACTCCATCCTCATGTAAATATGAACAATTTCCAACAGAAAATAAAATATTCCTTAGGCCCATAGGCATTTTAGATCATATATGGTGATGTTGACGTAAAACCAAAGTGTTCCTTTCCTTTGATCAAAACTATCATATTATCCAGGCATTTCACTACAACTTGTGAATGTTTTCACAAGTGTCTGAACTGATCATAGATTGCGATCTCAAGTCAGCAGCAAGAAAGGGGGTGGGGGGAGCCTTTTGGAATTTTAAGACATTCTCCTATTCCTGCTACCTCCCTTCCTCACAACACCCCACCCAGTTTTTGCTTAAGCCAAATTTGATACTTTCTGCCTTACTGGGAACCCAAGCTAAAGGACATTGCAGCCAGAACAAAATGTGACAGAAGTCCAAGAGGTTATCTTCTGCAAAGAACAGTGAACTGGGGTTCAGTTTGTAATTTGAAAGCCCTAGGTCAACCTGGAATGTTGTCAAATGTAGCTGTTAAATCCATTAACCAACCCACAGTTTCGAAGGCTGGGCTTCTAGCTACAACATTGCAAAAGCTTGAGAGTGTGGCAAGCATCTTGCCTCTTCCTGCTTAAGCAACTCCACATTACTCTAAAATTAAATTCTAATGGAAATCTTTTGGATTTCAAAGGAAAGCCTTTGGTTATAGTAGAAAACGAAAAATTATTGTGATCAACTAAGGAATTTACCTATTTTTCCCCAAAAGCACAGGAAATGTATTCACCAAAAAAAAAAAAAAAAGTCCTTGAGGGCTCTAGATAAAATGAAAAAAGTTTCCTGAATAATAGAGGTTATAGCTTTTAAAACTATAAATCTGAACAACTATTTTGTGTGTGTGTGAATGGCTAGTAGGTTTAGCTGAGCATGGTATAAATTTGGTATAAATTTATCTTCAAAGGAATTTATATTAATTTTGTTATGGGCATGAAGAAAATAGTAGCAGGCCATGTGAATCAAGCTGAATATGCAGTGGATTCCAGAAAGAAAAATGTTTTCTTTATGTCCTAAAATAGAAAATGTATTCTTCTTGGTAGTTTAGAAGCCTTTTTTTTTTTTTTTTTAAACTAAAGAGGTCATATACTATAGAGTCTAATTTTTGTATTTGTGACTATCTCTAGGGTATTTTTTTTTTTTTAAGATTTTTTTTTTCCTGACAGACAGAGATCACAAGCAGGCAGAGAAGCAGGCAGAGAGAGGAAGGGAAGCAGGCTCCCTGCTAAGCAGAGAGCCCGATGTGGGGCTCGACCTCAGGACCCTGAGATCATGACCCGAGCCGAAGGCAGAGGCTTTAACCCACTGAGCCACCCAGGTGCCCCTCTAGGGTATTTTTAATATCCTGTGTCCAAAATGTAACTTGGAAACTTAAGTGTGAATAGAAGAAATAAAGAAAAATGAGAGAGAGAACGAAGAGAAGGGTGATGTCCTACAGACAGTGTGTTTGCTGTGGAAGTGTAGCCCGTCAGTGTACGTGAACAGCAACAGTGTGACAGAGTTCCCTTGGGCATAGAGTTTCACTTGAAAACCCATTCCAGATCATCTCTCACAGGGCTTCACAGAATAATGTGCTTAATTTAGGGTGGAGTTTTATAAGGGTCCACTCACAGGTTTTTCATGAGTCACTCTCAAAGATCCGTATACCCTTGAAATTGCATAGACACACTTTTTTGACTATCCCTATGTGTGTTTATTTTTCTGGAGAAAAGAGTCACTAGCCTTCATCAGAGTCACAAAAGTATTCAAAGACCCTTGTCTCCAAAAAAATGGGCTAAGGACCACTGCTTTTGTGCATTACTGATTATTTGATGTCATTTTCTTTTCTCAGAAACAAAGGCGGTGTGTGTGTGTGTGTGTGTGTGTGTGTGTGTGTGTGTGTGTGTGTGTTTCCTGACAGAAAGACTTAATGTTACCATATTCTGGTAGTTTACATAAAGCATGAAATTTTTAGATATAGCCTCTTTCTCTACCTCCCATAACTAAGAAATTCAAGAGTACTTTACTTTAGACTATAAGAGCTTTTGTTGTCTATGGAACAAATTTCCATGTATTATCACTGTAGGAAATGGAAGAGAATTTGGAGGCCAGATATAATCAGAACTGTTGAAAAAGGAGATGATATCTTGATACTTCATCTAATTTTTAGCACTGGATATATAATACCATGGAAATAATATAAATTAATATAGTTTTTCTCATCCTTGTGATTGATAATGGCTTCATTCCAAATATAGGAAATTTGATCATCTTAAATGTGTCTGTGTTTCTATGGGTTACAACAATTTGATAAAAATACTGATATGAAGTCATTTGACAGTTTATTGCTCTCAAGTCACCCTATGAAAATTGATCCTTTGGAGGGGATCCTATGTATCCCCTCAAAGGGAAGAGAAGTTTCCAGCTATCTTGCTGTTGTCTGGTAGGTTGTAAATGACTGGAAATTCTAGAAGGCTCATTCTAAGACTTCGTTCTCCATGAGAACATTGAGTGGATCACAATTGGTTTGTAAGTCGGAGTAAAGATTCCACCGACAGAATCAATGCCCAAGATCAGAATTTGGCAAATGCCTCTCTTGGAAGATCCTAGTCTAAATATATCATTTGGTATAAAACAGCTAGAATGGCATATTACTGTTCCTTGATATGAAGCCCTACAATACATGTACTAACCCAAGGAAAAGGGAAAAATTAGATATCATAGTTCTTTGGGAAATGCCTCATAAAAATTTTAAATATTGGAAAAGAGACCCTTTTCTAACATGTATGAAAATACAAATCCATGTAGGGATGGGTATTTCCTATGTCAGCAAATTCTCTTCGTAAACAAGTGTGCTGTATTAACATTTCAAGTTAGCCCTTGATTTTCAAAGAGCCTTTCAACAGTTACTTACTTAATCCTCAGGATCACCAGTGGGAAAAACATCTCCTTCATGGACATGTAAATGGAGTTTTGTTTTTTTTTTAAAGATTTTTATTTATTTATTTGACAGACAGAGATCACAAGTAGGCAGAGAAGCAGGCAGAGAGAGAGAAAGATGGGGGAAGCAGGCTCCCCGCTGAGCAGAGAGCTCCATGCAGGGCTCAATCCCAGGACCCTGAGATCATGACCTGAGCCGAAGACAGAGGCTTTAACCCACTGAGCCACCCAGGTGCCCCCATAAATGGAGTTTTAAAGGGATATTTTGTCTGAATCATTAATGGCCTTTGAGCCCAAGGGGAGCCGCACTGACCTTTTGCTTCCTGCTTCCCGCTTCCCTCCCCTTGGACCTAAAGGAGGAATTTTCAAACATTCTCCATCCACAGGAACATCCAGTGACACATGGGTCATCCGTCTCCTGTAATTCCCTCTGGAGTACAAAAAGAAATCTTGGGACCCACAATCATCATTTTCTTACATTTTTAATATGTTGATTTAAAAATAGCACCCATTTTTGAGTAACTGACATTGTGGACCATTCCTTTAAGATGAAAATCAAACCATGAAAAACACTGACTTAGTGAAGAGAAGTCCCCAGGATACTGATAATACTGTAGAAGTGTAATAGGTCACCCACGTCAAACACAATCCCTTCTTAATGGAGCAAGAAATACTATTATTTCTCACAGGGCAGCAGTTTCTGGATAAAAGAAGGGGGGAAACAACCCACAACAGGAAGGGGAAAGGGAAAAACTGAGATGACTAAAGGCTTTTTTTTTAGTTCGTATTTACAGAAGTGGTACAGAATCTTGATTATTTCTTTTTTAAGATAGCTTCTCTGTATAACACCATCTCATTTTTTTTTTTTAACCATCTCATTTTTATGGTACTGCTCAATTCCTTAACTATTCTGGGAAGGTGAAGAGTGAGAAAATGCTATGTGATACCAAAATGAGCAAAAGAAGTAGTTCGATGAACCGTAATGACACTTGGAGAGGTCACTTGAAAATGAACTTCATTTCTTTTTCATCGTCGTCTCTCATGGACATTCGTTTTTAATACTCGTCTTTAATATGTTGGGTTGAACCCTATGTGACTGCTGATGTTAGGGCAAGTTTTACATCTTTGAGCTCATCATGAATCGCTGAAATACTTTAGAAAAGGTCTGGGACACCCCAGAATTCAACAGCTGAATTCAACACCTGTTTCCGGACCGCCCACCATGTGCCTAGTGCCTTGCTCAGTGGTGAGGACACAGTAATGGCAGGAGGCAGATGGCAGATGCCATGTCTCCCGGATTCTTTATCATGACTACTATGCTGTTAAGAACCCATAATCCAGAAGATCATTTATGGTCAGATGTACATAGACCCCCCCCAATGTAGCCAGTAGTTGACTCGACAAGTGTAAATATGTCCCCAGTTGATTTTTATAATCTTTAATAAAGGGAACCTTTCAGGTGTTTTCTTAGCACTGTGATGACATCAGGGATCTGACCTGTTTTAAATTCCCATTTTCCACGTAAGAAACTGAACCACTGGGTACATAGGAGACTTGCTCAAGGTCACATTTAGCTTCCAGTCTTCCGGTTGCTGGCTCAGGACTTCATCTACTAACCTTCCTTCCTCTCCCTCCTCACCCTGTGCACACACACCCCACCCCCAGAAAGTAGGGTGGTGGGTGCCTTCACCAGCCCCAGCACCCCGGGAGCTCTGTCCGGGGAGAGGGCAAAGTCAGATAGACTCTGTGGTGGGAAGATTCTGCAAAAGGATTTTCTGTACAATTTTTGCTCCGTATTTTTTCCCTTCATATGTTGTTATCTCCCCCGTGCTCAGTAATTTTAGTTTGTGCTTTTTGTTTCCCTTTTTTGTTTCTTTGGTTTGCTGGCTTTGTGTTCTTTTCTCTTTTTTTTTTTTTTCCTTTTCTTTTCCTTTTTTAATGCAGGAATCGGTCAAGGTGTTCCAGTGGTGGCGCTCATTGTGGAAGGAGGACCCAATGTGATCTCAATTGTCTTGGAGTACCTTCGAGACACCCCTCCTGTGCCTGTTGTTGTCTGTGATGGGAGTGGACGGGCATCTGACATCCTGGCATTTGGGCATAAATATTCAGAAGAAGGCGGGTAGGTAATTTACCAGGCCCTATAAGAGACCTTTGAGTACAAAGCCTGTGTTCAAAGCTCTGAAAGATGGTATCCTCGATGGAGATGTTTGGTCTGGGAAGGTGGTAGGGAAGATATTCTAGATGTCCTATGAAGTGAGAAATTCCATGAAAACCCCACTAGACCAGACTAATGAGGAAGAAAAAAAGGGAAAGAGGGGTCATAGCATGTCTCTTCTCTTCATTTCTTCTCTCTTCTGCTCTTCCCACTATGGAGAAGCAGGGACTGGGTTTGAACACATAAAGGACAGCTAATCCAGACCCTATGGTTCATGCAAGAACCTTGGGAGAAGCTGGGATGTGTAGCTTTCAGGTTCAGCCTCCAAATACCAGCTTCACCAAACCGCTGCATATTTACAAAGGCCAGAGGTTTACCAAAATTTTGGGTGGCCTGTGCTGTCAAATCCTTCTAGATCGCCTCAAAAAGCAGAGCCTCTAACCACTCTGGTCCTCTGTACGTCCTTCCTGGCCTCCTGCCCATGCACTTTCCTTGGTCTATCTGTCCCCTGTTGGTATTTTCAACAGTCCAAAGCCCCAGCCCCAAGAAGGACCTCCCTTCCCGCCTTCCCTACCAATCTGAGGTCCCACCCAGGGAGTGGTAAAAATCCAAGCACTTGCGTATTATTGATCAAAGTAGCTCATCCTGAGGTGTGAATAAGTTTTAAGGAAGAAAACTCAGGAGGAGTCATTTAATTTATTTATTTTTATTTATTTTTTGATTTTTTTAAATTTTTTAATTTTTTTATAAACATATAATGTATTATTAGCCCCAGGGGTACAGGTCTGTGAATCGCCAGGTTTACACACTTCACAGCACTCACCATTGTGTTTTTTTTTTAAGTTCTTATTGATTTACATAATCTTGTACCCAGAATGGGGTTCAAGCTCACAACCCCAAGATTAAGAGTTACATGCTCTTCTGACAGAGGCAGCCAGGCAGCCAGGCACCCCGCTCATTGAATTTTTAAATATGGAAGTTTCTCACCTAATCAGTTCTCCTAACCCATGAACCTGGTGGGAGAAAGGAGCCCCAGAGGAGATGGGATCTTTTATTTATCCCTTTTACAAACATACACAAAGTGCCCACTGGGCACCACACACGCAGATAGGGAAAAGCATAACAACTCTTCCTAGCCTCCGAGAGCTCCTAGGAAGTCTAATAGGTAGACAAGCGTGTAATGATAATAGTGAGTGACTGGTGAACCTGCCCAGTACGGGACACTCCATGCCCCGCCGTCCGCCAGGTGGCCATTCACAAAGCACCCTGTCCTGGCAAGTGTACAGACCTGAATCCAGGAGAGTCACGGGCCCTCCAGCTAACAAGGCATACAGGGACAGTGATTTCAGGCCCCCTTAAAGCTTTCAATATGAAAAACACAAAAACAAAAGCCAATATTCATAAGCATGAAATTGGAGTTTGCTTCCTGGCAAATTGATACTACTTTTCGGTTCTCTTTTCATCGTAAATATTGGTCCCTTCTCTAGCTAAAAAACTCAAAAGAACCCTAGCCCGAAAGCCTCCATGTGGTTTAAGAGCCAGAGCTCAGGATCCTCAACTGTGCTTTGATTTTATTAAAAATTTAGCCATAGTGCTCAGTGATTTATATACAGCAACGCGTTCCTTTCGCAAACATACCAGAATTTACACAATTTTTAGCTTTGGCTTCCTTTCTGCCTTCCCAGTGCTTGTAATCACCGTACAGTGTTTCCACAAAGTAGAAACGAGGCTGCGTTGAGAATGCACATTTCCTTTTCAGAAAATTCATGGAGAAGTGAGCTATGGATCTCAGCATTTCAGGTCTTCTAGGTCTGTGCGCAGTGAAGGTCTGGGTCCAGGGCCTCCTTTTTGTCCTATTATGGGTTGTATACTTTGAAAATGTTACAGTTTTTTGCTCAGTTGCTCTTCCTGATTCTGTTTGGTATGTAGGGAAATGGTACATGCCTTAGAGCTTGGGCGGGAGGGACAGAACTGGGGGGGACGGATGCACAGAGCAGTTATGTGCTTGCCCACGATCCCAGTTCAGGACTCTTCCCGGTCTAATACAAAAATTCACTGAAATGGATTTTGTGGCATCTGCCTTCATGTTTCTTATGTAGTACTTCAGTGGTCCTGTTGTTTGGCTGTAGGTGCATTTAAGTTCCCTTTAGCGTCCCCTTTGCATTGTAATTTCGTATTTTTTTATATTATTCTATGAGTCCCAAAAGATAAAATCAGTGCATCCCTGGCTGTAAACCAGTGTCCAAGCTGACCAGTGCGGGTTCCTCTCCCCGCCCCCGACTTTCCTTAAAAAAAAAAAAAAATTAGGTTTTTACCTAAATTCCAGTTAACACATAGTATAATATTAGTGTCAGGCATCATATAGATAGATTTTTTTCCTTCCCCTGACCCAGACCCAAATAAGAGTCAGAATACCGTGGCCTTTTAACTTTAATTGGCAATTCTAGTTTTAAAGCCAAAGTTTAGTTTTAGCTCTGTTTTTTTTATGACCAGTGTGCAAAAGTGTCGTCTATGTGGGATGTGTGCAAACATATAAACCAAGTGGATCATCAAAGAATTAACGTGAAGATAGAGAATTAAGATCTAATTTCTAACCTTGGGAATTATTAAAATTAAAACTTAAAAAATTTTAAGAAACACTTAGAAACAGTTATTAAGAAAATACAAACTTAAAGAGAAACTTTATATTTGCCAACCCAAATATACAAGTCTGCATTTATTTACTTTATAGGCTGTTACAGTAGAAGTATGCTTTTGCTCCAGGAAAGCAGTTACAAATTTATCCTGATCAAATGAATTCGTGACGTTGCTCTATGTCATTTGAATAACTGCCAGAATTAATCATGTTTATTTCACTTGAATAAGAAGTTGTCTAGCCACACATGTGTAGCTGATTTAAAAAAGCACTTCCAAGGAAAAGTATTTTACAGGAGTGTGTTTTCTTTATGCTGAAAACAAAACAAAACAAAACAAAAAACAAACAAAAATGAGCCCATCTCCAACTTCATTCACCAAAAATTTCTTTTTTGATTCCCAAAAAGTCCAACAGAGTTGGGATATATTTCACTACAAATAAATATAAATGTGTAACTATATGTTCAAATAGACAAACATATATAAATAAATGGGTATAATTGTACATATAAAATTGATTATAGAAAACACCTTGTTTACTAAACCTGAATCAGAGTTTGGAGTCATTGATTTTTGCTTTTTGGGTTTTTTTTTTTTTTTTGGTTATTCAAATATGCTTTAAAATGTTTCAAACTCATTTACAAATGGTTAGATAAATAATACAGGTCCAAAGACTGGTAAATGTATATATTCAACTCTAAAGCTTTTCATTTTATAATCTTAAAGAAGTGAATGAAATTTATATACCTTCTGGTTTAACTTTTGTGAACTTGCTATTTTGCCTTTAAATTCCCCGTTATTAACCATCTTCCAAGAATATGAATTTGAAATGGCATCACTTTGGAAGCAAATTATAATTGGCAAAACTAATTAACTTTTGTAGATGAGATTACTGGTGATAGAGGAAGACAGGCTCTATCTATTCCCAGGCAAATGGCTCTCTGCTCTATGGCACAAGCTCCCCCCAAAATGGCCAAATTCTCTTTTTCCCTTATTGTCCTACTAGATTTTCTATTTCTCATCTGTCATAGTTTAAAATGAGTCACAGATCCCTTTCCCTAACTAATTTCATTCCTTAAAAATCTTACCAATTTTTTTTTTTTCTGAATCATGAATGACTAAACACTGCAAACAGAAACAGATTAATGCCACCCAGGAGCATTAGATTGGATTACCTACATTTTCTTTTCTTTTTTTCTTTTTAAAAGATTTTATTTATTCATTTGACAGAGACAGCAAGAGAGGGAACACAAGCAGGGGGAGTGAGAGAGGGAGAAGCAGGCTTCTGCTGAGCAGGGAGCCTGATGTAGGGCTCTATCTCAGGGTCCTGGGATCGTGACCTGAGCTGAAGGCAGACACTTAGCAACTGAGCCACCCAGGCACCAATGACCTACATTTTCAAATACTAAGATTCAGTACTAAGATTCCACTTTTTGCTGCTGACCAAGGAAGCCGACCAACATCACGCATTGTCAGGAACACCTTTCAGGGGATAGGTGCCTGCAGCTGAAGTCAGAGGTTGCTTGAAAATTCGTAATCTAAGTTTCAGATTGCAGAGAAACATGGTCTAGCTCATTTATCAGTCAGTGAGAACGAGTCATCGTGAAAAAGGCATCTGAATGCATGCGAATTCTGAGATGATGTTCCTCATTCCTCTGTGTTTTATCGCCAATCCTTACATTTATTTTGGTGTCTTTTTCCCATAAGTAATTATATGGATTTAGCATTTTTAGAGCGCCTAGGATAAGAAGCAGGACCTGTGATAGCAGAAAGCCTTACAGATCTTAATTAGTCTCTGGATAACTTTTGGGAAGTTACCAGTGGGACAGACACCAGGACTCTTCCCATTGTTCTGTGTCAGTGGAATTTGTAGTAGATATGGTGGAGAAACACTGAGGAATGGCCTTCTCTTGAGGACAGGAATAAATTTTAAAAAAATCAAATGAATCAAATAAAAATTCTGATCTTCCCTGTTTTAAGGGAGCTTAATAAAGGTCCCTTTATTTTTTTGATTAGCTGAGCTGAAGGCATAAATGGAAGGCAAAGTGGAAATGAATAAGGAAAAATAGGTTGCATGGCTTCCCATTTTATCTCTGTCCTAGCACAGATGTAACAAAAGTTTGTTTCTCTCCAAAATTAGGAGGAAGTTGCCAGAAAACTAGCCATTTTAGAAATCCAGGTGTGGTCTGTATCCCTAGGGCATATCACTCTGTGCGATGGTTACTAATGCTTTCTTCTGCTGCTTGAGATTTCCCTCTAAGGCTGAAGGCTGTCACAGCCCTATCATTTGTCTCTATGAGATCTGCTGAAAGGAGGTAATTGATCTCGGT